TGCTTGACTGAGTTGATACATTATACAAGGTATGAAGGTTCTCTGTACATTCTCCAGTACTGCAATTATGTTTGCCGTCTCTGAAGAGCAATATTACAGCCTAGAGAGAACGAATGGTCTAATGAGCATCACCACAAACTTGGTATCTGTTCTGAAAGTTATAGTGATCAAGCCTATAATTTTCTTTGCAGCAGCAATAATAACATTAGTGTGCTCCTTGAATGTGAGATCTTCTGACATTATTACTCCCAGGTCTCTCACATTAAACTTCCATTTTATTGATTTGAAATTGTCTTGTACTCCGATCTCGTTGTTATTTCCTCAGTTCTTCTGTAACATAATAACTGGAGTTTGTCCTCGCTGAACATTATATTGTTGTTAGAGCTCTATTACAACATCTGATTTACATCAACTTGGAGGCTCGCAGTGTCTTCCATGGATGACACTGTATCTTCTATGGTAGTGTCTTCCATGGATGCCACTGCATCTTTTATTGTAGTGTCTTCTGTAGATGACATTGTGTCTTCAAAAAAAGGAGTGTCTTCTATGGATACCACTGTGCCTTCTAAGGAAGAGAGTGTCTTCAGTGGATGCCACTTTCATACAAATTCTAGTATCGTCTACAAGGGATAATACGGTTTATGTTCCTGTCAGTGTCAGATATGAGAATGAATAAGAGAAGTGGGGTCAGTACCGTGTCTTGAGGAGCAATTTTCTTTTACTATGGCAACCAAAGGTTTCACTGGGTTTTATTAGTAAAGAAGTTAAATATCGATCTGCTTATCTTTCCAAATATTTCTTTTGCACAAGTACCCCATGGTCACACTTGTCAAAGATTTTTATATAATCAGTGAACACTGCATCTACATTTTACCTCTCTTCCAGTATATCCAAGAGCACGCTGTAGTGGTCCAGCGACTGCAAGAGGCAGGAGCTACTTGTTCTGGGTTGTGCAAATACTGCGACTCCATGTGAATGGTAATCTTGTTTCTTAAGACTCTAAAAAATCTTGATAATATGGGATGTTAGTGCCATCAGTCCATGGTATTTTGCAATTGTTTTACTGCCACCTTTGTGGAGTGGGGCTATAGCAGTGGTTTTTGATGACAGTGGGATGACTACAGTGTCCAGGCTCTTGCTTCACAGAGATTTTAAAGCACGAGAAAATGGTTTCTTGCAATTCTTGATAAACGTGGAGTTCCACGAGTCAGAGCCTAGGGCGGCGTGCATGGATATGCAATCAATAGCATATTCGAAGTCAAGTGTGTGTTAGGGTTATATCAGAACTTGTGGAAATGTCGGTGGCGTTATGAGACTTGGTCATGAAAAACTCATTTGGGTCGTCAATTTTTAGGCTGATTAACGGCTCACTGAACACCGAGTCGTATTGTGACTTGAGCATTTCACTCACTTCTTTTTAACTCGTCAGTGTATACTCCATCTCCACTAAGTAAAGGCTCGATTACAGTTTTTTTTTTTTAACCATGGATTATGCATTTGACAAGAGGTATTTTGATTTCTCTCAGTTTCACTAATGACTTTTGGCTCCTTGTTTTTCTTGGATTCTGTTTGATGCATTTAATATATTGCAGTCTTAGTAGTTCAGCCGAATGAGACTGTTCATCGGAACTGGATCCTGGGACTCCCTCTCCAATTATAGTTTTCGTTAAATTTTTCAGTTTTAGGTGTATTAAAGTGACTAAGAAACAGAATATTTGGGGCTGAGGTTGATAGGTTTTCCAGACTCCTGTCTTTTCCGAGACTGTTGGTATCTGAATTGCTGGGAGGTTGTATTTAGTGATTCATATACGAATGCAACAATTAGATTCTGATCCTCATTTTTAACCACCAAAACTTGGATTATATCATCTGTGTTGCTAAGTAACTCAGTGCATACGAGCAACCCATTTAACAGAGCAACTCCCATCCCTTGTTGCTTGCCTTTAGATAGGGAATATGGATACCTGTGCACAGGTATCCATATTTCGCTGTCAAAGAATTGTTTTACGTGGGTCGGTGAAGAGACGACTGGTGAAAGGTACTTTGTTATTACTTGGTTTAAGACCCTGAATATTTGCAGAGACAAATGATATATTGCTGCTTTGCTATGGGCTTATTTTCTGTGGTTATTTTGCTACTGGTCGTGTTTCTAATCCAGCGTGACTCTTAGGTTTTAATATATCCTTACCCTATTTTGCCATTCTTCACTTCATGATAATAAAAGAAATACCTCAGATGCCTATATGGAAGTAGTTTTTATATTCAGTATGACGTTCATTGGGCTTTATCTCTCTTGTTCCCTTCCTGCGGCACGTCATATAAAGAACAAAAAAAGACACAATACCGTGACTGGAACAATACACAAGTAACCCGCACATAAGAAGGAAAAAAAGCTTATGACGACGTTTCGGTCCGACTTGGACCATTTACAAGTCACACTGTCGTTACAAGCTTTTTTTTCTCTATACCTGGAGAGAGTTTCAGGAGTCAACGGCCCTTGCGGCTCGGTCTGTGACCAGGCTTCATGGTGAATCAGGGCCTGATCAACCAGGCTGTTACTGTTAGCCGCGCTCAACCCGACGTACGAACCACACCCCGGCTGATCAGGTACTGACTTTAGGTGCCTGTCCAATGCCTGATTGAAGACAGCCAGGGGTCTACTGAAAATCCCCCTTATGTATGCTGGGAGGCAGCTGAACAGCCTTGGGCCCCTGACACTTATTGTGTTGTCTCTTATCGTGCTAGTGATCCCCGGAATAACCTCCAGGTAACCTCCAGGTAGTGACACCCCTGCTTTTCACTGGGGGGATGTTGCATCGTCTGCCAAGTCTTTTGCTTTCACAGGGAGTGATTTTCGTGTGCAAGTTTGGTACTAGTCCCTCTAGGATTTTTCAAGTGTATATAATCATGTATCTCTCCCGTCTGCGTTTTAGGGAGTACAAGTTGAGGAACTTCAAGTGTTCCCAGTAATTGAGGTGTTTTATCGCAGTAATGCGTGCCATGAAGGTTCTCTGTACATTTTCTAGGTCAGCAATTTTACCTGCCTTGAAAGGTGCTGTTAGTATGCAGCAATATTCCAGCCTAGATAGAACAAGTGATCTGAAGAGTGTCATCATGGGCTTGGCATCCCTAGTTTTGAAGGTACTCATTATCCATCCTGTCATTTTTCTAGCAGATGCGACTAATACAATGTTATGGTCACTGAAGGTGAGATTCTCTGACATGATCACTTCCAGTGCGGGCTACTTGCGTAATGTCATATAGTTTATATCATATTAATATCTTTTGTTTACTGAACTGTAGCACATTTTTAGATGAAACAATGTGTAGTTCTTGGATATACATGAGCCTTTATTAAGGAGATTACGGCATTTACCTGGATGGTCGTACTGACAAGTTCCGTTTCTTTTTCCAGTCTGCCAACGCGCCAGTTAAGTGCCAACAGACTTAGATTTTCCAATGTCTTCAATTTATGGGGTTTTCGTTGGTGATCGCATTGTTTTCAGTAGTTTTAACTGATTTAGGTGCTACTGAATCTGTAACAGAATCTGTAGTGGAATTTGTAGTGGGATGGAATTTGTGCCAGGGGTGGAGGCCATAGGAGTGCGCACTTTTATCTTGTACCTTGTTCCTACAATCTATCTCTTCCATGGCGTCCGTAGTCCCACAGTCTACTTCTACTGAGCCCACAGTCAATGTCCATGTTATTTGTTGAGCTATGGGTGCAAACATTAATGGCTGTTTATTCACATTCTTGCTGTGTGTCACCACTCCGATTTTAGGGTTCCCGTTTTCTATATCTGCCCTTCCCTCCCATTCTTTATATATTCCAGGCAGACTATCCAAGAGAACCACGGTGTTTTAAGATAAGATAAGATAAGATTTTGTTCGGATTTTTAACCTCGGAGGGTTAGCCACCCAGGATAACCCAAGAAAGTCAGTGCGTCATCGAGGACTGTCTAACTTATTTCCATTGGGGTCCTTAATCTTGTCTCCCAGGATGCGACCCACACCAGTCGACTAACACCCAGGTACCTATTTGCTGCTAGGTGAACAGGACAATAGGTGTAAGGAAACGTGTCGGAATTTCCACCCGCCGGGAATCGAACCCGGGCCCTCCGTGTGTGAAGCGGGAGCTTTAGCCACCAGACCACCGGGCCACCTTAGCATTAGCACTGCTCTTCAGTACTTGCCTCAACAATTTTCTGAAACTTGCCCGCAGGTCCATATCTTTATCTCAAATATCTCAAATCCAGAAGCATCTCTATAGATCAATGTCATTTTTGGCAAGTGTTTATTTGTGCACATGAGACAGTGTTGAGACCAGCATAAAGTCAATAAAGGATCGCATTATACTGCATTTGTGTTTATTTTTCCATCCAGCTTGATCTTACTCCCAGGCCTCCAGCACAAGCTTCAAGGACTGTATTTGAGAAAGGCATTCTGATAGTATCTTAAGGAACAATTTGACCTGATAGAGAAGTCTTAAATGATACATTTATTTAAAGTCACCGACGTCATATAGCCATTTGGTTAACCTACAGAAGACGCAAGTATTGATGATGATAATGATGATGATGATGATGATGATGATGGATGATGATGATGATGATGATGGATGGTGGTGGTGGTGGCGGGGAAGATATAGTAATGACAGTTACAGTGACTGAAGAATGATGGTGTTGACCAACGTACAGAAGGCGAGCGGTGTTCGTTATTGCTGTTGTTGTGATACTGGAGGTCATGGTAATGGCCATGGTTGGGAGGTAAAGTTATTACAGCTACAGTGATTGAGAAATGGTGGCTGTGGCCAGCCAGCAAAAGGCATGTTTTGATCGATGTGGAGACAAAGGAGAGAAGAGGCAGAAGGAAAGAGGCAGTAGCAGCAGCAGGAAGAAGGATGAGAAGGAAGAGGAAGAACAGCAGCAGCAGCAGCAGTAGCGGCAGCAGCAGCAGCAGCAGGAAGAGGAGGAGCAGCAGCAGGAGTGAGGTATACGTACTTGCATCAGTATCGGTGGTAGGGAAGCGTGGGTCACCACCCAAGACGTTGGCGGCTCTGGAAGCGTTCTGCAGGCGGCCTCCTCCAGGGCCCGCCTCCATCAGAGGGTTTTGGATTTGGGTGTCGACGGCGTGGAGGGACGAGTTATCGTAGGGAATAACGTTGACTGGAAATGACCCATGAGAGTTACCGGCAGGCCGTGTGGTGAAGTGTTGATCTACGGTGAGGACATTGTGCGTTTGGGCCGAGTAGGCAGGCAGGGGCTCTGCCGTGAAGGTAACATGCGGGGGCAAGGGTAAGTGTGGGCGTGGGCGCTGGTGTGGGGGGTACGGGGCGGGGAGTTGGGGGAAGCGTGGGCGCAGAGTGGGGCGCGGCAAAGGGGGTGGGGGGAGGATGAACCACACACCCCCCCACCGCCCCTCTCTGGGGGAGGAGGTGCAGAGGAGGCGGGGAACGTATCTGTAAGGAACCAGAGAAAAAAGAAAAGATAGGCAAAGAAAATATAAGAACGGAAAGAGTGCAATAAGCTAGACTATGGTGAAGCCTCCCTTCCCCGATCCCCCTCGTCACCCCATCTCTCTCCACATACTGGCCCACCCCATCACCTCTCCTTCCCTCACCTCCACTCTCTCACTCTCCCTCTCTCTCTGAAGCCTTACATCTCTCTCAAACCTCTCTTCACTTTTTCAAACTTCTCATCTGTCACATGCTTAACATAACTCTCTTAAAGATTTCCTCTCTCTCTCTCTTTCTCTCTCTCTCTCTCTCTCTCTCTCTCTCTCTCTCTCTCTCTCTCTCTCTCTCTCTCTCTCTCTCTCAAATCTCTTATTTTTTATCAATTGTTTCATTTTCTCTGAAGTCTTTTGTGTCTCTCTTACCTTCTAATAATTCTTACACGCCATTCAACTCTCAATTAACTCTTCATCTCCTAACGTGAACTCTTATTCTTCTAACATCTCTCTCTCTCTCTCTCTCTCTCTCTCTCTCTCTCTCTCTCTCTCTTCTCTCTCTCTCTCTCTCTCTCTCTCTCTCTCTCTCTCTCTCTTCGTATGTTTGCATATATTACCAAATACACACACAGACACACACACAGACAAACACACAGACACACACAGACACACACACAGACAAACACACAGACACACACAGACACACACACACACAGGGGGGAGGCAGAGAGCACTGGAAGTGGTGCTAAACGGGCCAGTATGGTTGACGGGAGGGGACAGGTGGGGGTTCAGGGGAAGAAAACTGCTGTGGGGGGCGTGGGGAACACAAGAGAGGAGGTGCCCTGGCGAAACATCACCAAGTATTCCCTGGCGAAACATCTCATGATATTCCGTGGTGAAGATCGCCTGGCACTTCCTCCCGTAACCATTCATGGCGACTCAAGTTTGCAAGAGTCATCCCAAAGCACAGTGCAGGTACCACAGTGTGTGGTGCAGGTACCACAGTGTGTGATGCAGGTATCACAGTGTGTGGTGCAGGTACCACAGTGTATGGTGCAGGTACCACAGCGTGTGGTGCAGGTACCACAGTGTGTGATGCAGGTACCACAGTGTGTGGTGCAGGTACCACAGTGTGTGGTGCAGGTACCACAGTGCGTGATGCAGGTACCCCAGTGTGTGGTGCAGGTACCACAGTGTGTGGTGCAGGTACCACAGTGTGTGGTGCAGGTACCACAGTGTGTGGTGCAGGTACCACAGTGTGTGATGCAGGTACCACAGTGTGTGGTGAAGGTACCACAGTGTGTGATGCAGGTACCACAGTGTGTGGTGCAGGTACCACAGTGAGTGATGCGGGTACCACAGTATGTGGTGCAGGTACCACAGTGTGTGGTGCAGGTACCACAGTGTGTGATGCAGGTACCACAGTGTGTGGTGCAGGTACCACAGTGTGTGGTGCAGGTACCACAGTATGTGATGCAGGTACCACAGTGAGTGGTGCAGGTACCACAGTGTGTGGTGCAGGTACCGCAGTGTGTGGTGCAGGTACCACAGTGTGTGGTGCAGGTACCACAGTGTGTGGTGCAGGTACCACAGTGTGCGGTGCAGATACCACAGTGTGTGATAATTTCAGGTACCACAGTGTGTGGTGCAGGTACCACAGTGTGTGGTGCAGGTACCACAGGTGTTTGTGGTGGTGCAGGTATCACAGTGTGTGGTGCAGGTACCATAGTGTGTGGTGCAGGTACCACAGTGTATGATGCAGGTACCACAGCGTGTGGTGCAGGTACCACAGTGTGTAATGCAGGTACCACACTGAGTGGTGCAGGTACCACAGTATGTAATGAAGGTACAACACTGTGTGGTGCAGCTACCACAGTGTGTGGTGGTTTAGGTACCACAGTATGTGGTGCAGGTACCACAGTGTGTGGTGGTGCAGGTACCACAGTGTGTGGTGTTACAGGTACCACAGTGTGTGGTGCAGGTACCAAAGTGTGTGGTGCAGGTACCAAAGTGTGTGGTGCAGGTACCACAGTGTGTGGTGCAGGTACCACAGTTTGTGGTGCAGGTATCACAGTGTGTGGTGGTGATGCAGGTGCCACAGCATGTGGTGGTGGTGGTGGTGGTGGTGGTGCAGGTACCACAGTATGTGGTGGTGGTGCAGGTACCACAATGTGTGTTGGTGGTGGTGGTGGTGGTGGTGCAGGTAACATAGTGTGTGGTGGTGGTGCAGGTACCACAGTATGTGGTGACGGTGCAGGTACAACAGTATGTGGTGATGGTGCAGGTACCACAGTATGTGGTGATGGTGCAGGTACCACAGTATGTGGTGGTCGTGCAGGTAGCACAGTGTGTAGTGGTGGTGGTGCAGGTGCCACAGTGTGTGGTGGTGGTGCAGGTACCACAGTATGTGGTGATGGTGCAGGTACAACAGTATGTGGTGATGGTGCAGGTACCACAGTGTGTGGTGGTGGTGCAGGTACCACAGTGTGTGGTGGTGGTGCAGGCACCACAGTGTGTGGTGGTGGTGCAGGTACCACAGTGTGTGGTGGTGCAGGTACCACAGTGTGTGGTGGTGGTGCAGATACCACAGTGTGTAGTAGTGGTGCAGGTTCCACAGTGTGTGGTGCAGGTACCACAATGTATGGTGGTGGTGCAGATACCACAGTGTGTAGTAGTGGAGCAGATACCACAGTGAGTGGTGGTGCAGGTACCACAATGTGTGGTGGTGCAAGTACCAGTGTGTGGTGGTGGTGCAGGTACCACAGTGTGTGGGTGGTGGTACAGGTACCATAGTGTGTGTGGTGGTGGTGCAGGTACCACAGTGTGTGTGGTGGTGGTGCAGGTACCACAGTATGTGGTGGTAGTGCAGGTACCACTGTTTGGTGGTAGTGCCGGTACCACAGTGTGTGATGGTGGTGCAAGTACCACAGTGTGTGATGGTGGTGCAAGTACCACAGTGTGTGTAGTGGTGGTGCAGGTACCACAGTGTGTGATGGTGGTGCCGGTACCACAGTGTGTGGTGATGGTGCAGGTACCACAGTTGTGTGGTGGTGATGCAGGTACCACAGTATGTGTGGTGGTGCAGGTACCACAGTATCTAATGGTGGTGCAGGTGCCACAGTGTGTGTAGTGGTGGTGTCAGGTTATCCACCAGTGTGTGGTGCAGGTACCATTGTGTGTTGTGGTGGTGCAGGTGCCACAATGTGTGGTGCAGGTACCATTGCGTGTTGTGGTGGTGCAGGGGTACCACAGTGCGTGGTGAAGGTACCATTGTGTGTTGTAGTGGTGCAGGGGTACCACAGTGCGTGGTGTAGGTACCATTGTATGTTGTGGTGGTGCAGGTAGCACAGTATGTGGTGGTGGTGCAGGTACCATAGTGTGGTGATGGTGCAGGTAGCACAGTGTGGAGGTGGTGCAGGTACCACAGTGTGGTGGTGGTGCAGGTACCACAGTTTGTGTGGTGTGTGTGGGGTACATGTTCCTCAGTAAATATGGTACAGTGTGTTGTGTAGCCCGTGGCTACAACAATGCATAATAAAAACACAGTAAATTATAGTAATATTCCAAGTGATTTCTTACTTTATTCATAGCGAGTGATGATGTGAGAATTCACGAAATCGGATGGAATATTACCGAATCTCACTGTGGTTATATTGCAGATTACGATATTACCTGTTTCCCGTGATCTTTATAAGTTAGGACATTTAGTGAGTTAGCTGGGGATCAGCTAGAATACTCAGTGAGTTAGCTGGGGATCAGCTAGGACATTCAGTGAGATACCTGGGGAATAGGATATTCAGTGATTACTGGCGATACTAGACATTCAGAGTATACCTGGATGAACAGATATTCAGTGAGTTACAGTGGAAGTAGTGACATTCAGTTGAATGACAAGTTGGATGAGCTAGGATATTCTGAGTTAGTGGACGATCAAAGAGATTAAAAAGTAGTTAAGTATAATAGGTAGTTAAGATTAAAGGAGAAACAGTGACATCCAAGAAGAGTAAATTTTACATTGTTGACATGACAATTAGCCAGGTAAGACAACCTAATTGAAGTTAAGTGAGACACTGAACAATGAACAGTTTTCAGTTAAGATATTAAAATCATAAGAAAATTTTCTATGATTATTATTTGATGAGAAATATGTTTGTTTTATAAATAACTCAAACATATTAACTAAAGTAAGTTTAATGTGTCGAGACAACTAAGAAGAGCCAGTTTTACCCTTCATAGATTTTAAATACCTTAGAAAAATTTTAAGAAGTTATTTGTGAGCTTTTTCATCATGTTAATTTAGGTATTCAAACAAATCTCATCCTACAGTAATCATGTGGATTGGAAAACTACTAATTGCCTTTATGTCGTGTCAGTAAGACTAGCTACAATAAGAAGTTAATGAAATTTTTCAAGTCAGTAGCTCTTTCAGTTTCAAACTTTTTCCTTCCCGCATCCGCCTTGTCAGAAGGCGGATGTGGGGGACACATCCTTGCACCTGCCTTTTCATGAGGCAAGAGTGGGAAGGTCCCACTCCACTCAGTCCAAATTCACTTTATTAAGAGGCAGGAATTGGGGACTCATGCCCCCCTCACCCCCACACCTCCCTTCTGATCAGGCAAGTGTGGGGGACCTTACTAATACTCCCATACCCACCTTAGCAGTGGCGATGGATGCATCTTAATTTTAGGTTCTAACAAATAATATAATTGATTTTAATTGGGCTGAGTGTTTTAATTACAATAGATGAAACCAAAAGAAAAAAAAAAGCCCCAAAGGGGCACTGCCTTTTAAATAGAAAATTTAAAACGCCATAAATGTTTTCAGTTTATAATGAACTTTAAATGGCTGTACTACCCAATATGGTGAAACTAGACATAATGTTCCCGCTGAAGGGCCGCCCTCTAAACTTACTCCAGGGTACAAAGAAGTTTATATTATAGTTTGGTTGGTGTGACTTTCATGGGGACTGAGGTACACAAGACCACGACCACGGACAAAGACATATTCACA